ACTAAATGAAAGGGCAAACATAGTATCTTGTGCCTGACATCGATATAACTGACACTAATTAGTCAAGGTTGCAGCATGGCAGTGATTTTGAGATCCCTCCACTGTTTTGCTTGGAAATCATGTTATTGCTATAGCTGGTCAAATATTTTTCTTTTGACCATAGCATTTGTCAGATGATGTGAACAATGTGCAGATGATGTAAATGCATCAGAACTTGCCAGATAGAGTATGCTCCTATGGAAATAGCAGAAGATGCTACAAGCAGTGAACATTGACTGGAACAAGAATTTATGATGGTTTTCTAGACAGATTTTTTTCTATCTGGTCTATATTACACATGTTGTCATTAATGTATACCATCCTCCTTTACAAAAGAGGTTATGATCAGTCAAATTTATGAACATGTGCAACTGCTGTGTGTTTTTGTCATTTTAAGATTACTTGAGTATAGTTCAACTACACCTTCAAACAATTCAGGGACAAGACCTGGTGAAAAATACAGTGAGTAACTTACAGGGGTCCTCACTAAGATGGCACTGTTAATATTTTATAGCCAACAGATCTGTCAGTTTTTACATAAATCATTGATTACAACCAACAAAGCCCTAAAAATGTTTGATCATTTTATCTATGCAAACATTTTCTCCTAGCCATAATTCCAGTCTGGAGATCAAGCAAAGGAGGCAGTTGTGTGGTACAGTGTTTTCTGGTCAGAGTGAAGGACTTTCATACTCATTTTTTCACTTTAACCAAACAGTTCATATCTGTTGACTTTCAGGACTGACTTCAAAGGACTAACAATAACTTCCCACACTGGTAATAGGATGAGAAGGAAGAGTCTGAATATTTGGATTCTTGTGCAGTGCATATTTCATTGACGTTGATGTTAATTGTACTGTGTGCTAGGTTAACTTGAGTAGACACTCCTTTTGTTACTGAGATGTAGATAGTTAAACTACTTGAAGCTTAGAAATTATGGGAGAAAATAATTTATTTTGAACTCCCTTACTTCTCAGAAGAGCTCAAGATGGGTTAATCCTGCAGCATTATTAAAGTAGTTTGAATGATGCTCTAAGGTGAATAAATTGCCAGTAGCCTACTGGGATTTCTATTCCCTTCCTGATGACACCTGACACTAGGTACCAACTACAGTTTTGGTGTGTGTCATAAGCAGAAAGACTTGTAGAAGCAGTTTGGCTTGACAGCGTTTTCAAAGATGTTTGCATCGTCGTGCAACAACAGCAAGTATTTTACAGGAACAGTTCTTAGTTTCTTCACACTGATTTTGTCAACTGCTTTTGCCGATTTTGGCAGTAGAATTCATAAAACACACGACGAAGCTCAGACCCTTCTTGAGGTACACTAGTGCCTCACTGCTAAACTTCCTCTTCTGACAAAATTATGCAGGTTGGGGTCCTGTTCCAGTTCTTTTCCTTAAACATGAAATAAGGATTTACATCTAAGTATACTTATTTAACATAGTAATATTTGTGTTTAATATGAAGTAATATTTGTAATAAATATCATAATATTTCTTACAATGGGTACACAATATATGTAAAAACATTGTGCATATTATTTAGTCCTATGGTATGTTTTATAGTATATATATAGTACATTATAAAGTAAAAGTTGCATTCGTAAATAGTCATCTGTTCTAGGTGATGTAAAGTATGGCTCAGTATACACAGTGCATGTCTCATACCCAGCTTTACCCATGGAGGACTTTTTGACTGGCTGAGGAAGTTTTGGACATGATATTGGTCTTATCCCTGGTCTAAAACCACATTTGCTTTCTAGATAGAGGATGGAGAGGGAAACAAAGAACTTCCTTTTTACCTTATCTTGACGTAAGCTCACCTTCACAATTGTTCTGATCTTGGTGATACCCTTCTGCACACAGGATTTAACTTTACTAATATGGTCCGGAGCACATGTGTGATTTCTGATGACATAATGAACTAAATAATTCTGTCTTCAAAGCAGGGTTAAAGTAGCTTAAGGTAAAGAAACTACAGGGTTAAAAATAGAGTAGGAGGGTTAAAATGAGTTTGAGAGTACAGCCCAGGGTGCTTTTCCTTCGCGGATTAAAATAGGCTGTGAAGAGCTATCTGCTTAGACATCTATGCTGGTGAGTGCCCCTGCTACCGTTTAAGGTTAAACTGCAATATAGTGTTTCCATGTTTCGAAAACTGCATTCTTTGAGAAAGATGGTATGTCTTCATGCTATTAAAAAGCGGTATAATATAGTATCTGTAAAAGCATCAACTAAGATTCCGTAGGCAGTTATATTGGAGGAGTTAGCTTTATGGCCCTATTAATATTTATGCAAAAAATGCTTATTATGTGTAACATTCATATTAACTGAGGGTCACATTGAGTCTTTTTAACCATCAGATGCCTGTGTAGGTTTTGAGGACTCTGCATAATCTAGAATAATGGCATGTTCCCTTAGAATGATTTGGCACAAGAATGAAGTGATCTGAACAGTCTGAAGAACGCAGGAATGGGAGGAAGGAAGCTCATTATATGGTTATAATTGTTGTGTGTTTAAATGATTGCTGGGTTGGACCATGAAACAGTAGTTGCATTCTACTGTAAAGACAGGAGTGTATCTGTTGTGTTGAATGTGCCTCTCCTCTAAAAAGCCTACAAGGTGTTTCATAGGTTTCGAGTATGCCTTTAGCACTTGTAGTCTGGAGGAAAAGCTGTTTGATTGCCCCCTCTTTCTCTTTCTTGTGAAAAGGATTAAAACTGAAAAAAGGCCCAAACTATGTATTTTAACCTTTAGAGTGTTTAAAACCAAGCAAAAAAACCCCATTTAATACTCAACTCAATTGATACACTTTAAAATGTGTTTCTTTTAAATAAAAGCTTTGTAAAATGACAGCTAAAAATATTGATTTCTAAAATGACCATTTTGAATTGTTTAAGGAGTAGTTTGAACTACTTTTAGGCTGTTACTGAAGTAAAAAACCTGATTTTAAATTAAGAACACATGGCTTAAATATACCCTGCAGTAAAAAATCAAGCAATATGCATTCTGTACTCAAAACTTAACAACGAATTTTCGTGGGGTGGCTGCCCTCCGAAAATGATTTTGGAAAAAATTAAAATCTTAATCGAACACTTCATTTGCTCACAGTACTTAAACTTCTGGGGCCTGGGTTCTGGTTCAGTCAACAAACTAATTGGCACTTTCATTGGCAGCTATATTTGTTAACAGACTGCAAATAAGGAAACGACAAGAGGTCCGGAAGGGTCTCACCCTCCAAATAGCAGCTCTTCTCCGGTATTTTTTTTTAATGTTTCCACTTTCACCTGCTGTGATAGTGAAATTATAAAGCATGAAGCTGAAAGTCGTGTGGACATTCAGAGTCACTAACTCTCACTGCTTATTACTAGCTTAGTAAGTTAGCTGTAATGAGCCCATTCACTAGCTGTTTTCTTTTTTCTTTTTTTTTTTTTTTCTATTGAATGCTCAGAGATTAGAATTTATCAAAATTTTACTAGTACAGGGGAGGGAAAGTGCAAATATTCATGTGTAAGAGGGTGAAACTTCCTTTCAGATAGTTGTAGAGAGTGGTAAGGTCTCCCCTCAGCTTCCTTTTCTCTAGGCTAAACATCTCCAGTTCCCTCAGCCACTCCTTATAAAACCTTAGACCCTTGACCCTTGACCAGCTTCATTGCCCTTCTTTGGACACACTCCAGCACCTCCATGTCTTTCCTGTAGTGAGGGGCCCAAAACTGAACACAGTA